CACTACAGTTAACGAAAAGTAAGTAAGACTTTTTTGTTATGGAAATCGTATATTGATAATATTATTTATTGCTTTATTAAGATGAAGCTTAAAACTGATTTAATTAAGTTTAATTCATTGAAAATAAGAAAATACAATTTATTACACTTCCCACAAGATTATAAGTATCGGAGACAAACTTGTAATTATGATTCAATACCATTTCTAAATTTACGTGCGTAAAATTGATTGACTAGTAATACTCAAAAGACATCTCCACACCGTCCGGTTTGATCCCGATGACTCACTTGCCGTAGAACGGTGCTCGGTACCAGGCACCGTTTAAAAAAAAATGTGTGCGCACCTTATCTCTTGCATCAGATAGTTATACAGCGTGTCCTAATAAATGAAACCATTGACCTACTTTAATTTTTTATTGATATTATTACTTAAGCAAGTCGAAATATAAAGAATAATTTAAATACTTTAGTTTTAGCTATAGACTGATTCTCTATTTCGAATTTTACTGACTACATAGTGAATGGAATAAAAATCTATTTGATATTTAAAAAAAAACTAATCAATTTAATGAATACTTGTAATTTTGAAGGTTGTAGTTTGTGTACACTTTGTCTAGACGATTCTGTTTGTGTCAATGTGGTGAAATTAGTTTGTGATCAGATCGTAAAGTCAGATTACGGACTGCAATTTCTTCGCTTCTAATGGAAAACATTGTAAAAGTCCATCACATACTATACAGTTATATTTTTACGTTACTTAGTATTATATAAAACTGAATTTGATCTACGGTAAGACAGAACAAAAGTACTTGTATCCTAAATACCAAATTGGACAGTTAAAAATGTCTACTATTTTTGTATTTATTTAAAAAAACATTCATGTTTAAAACATTATCGTCTAATAAGGAGCAACAAATTTAAGTACATCCTGTAAGATGCGCAAGCGCCGAATGACTCACACTTCACAAACAATCTCACGACGGAAGACACGTTAAGATATTTGTGTATGTTAATAAGTTAACTTAGAATCTGCTTAGCTTAATTTACGCAAACATGGAGAATAGATTATGGTTAACTCGTCATTATTCACGCCATAGATAAGAGAGATTTAGCTTGTTTTTCGTGATATCAACCATAGACTATCACAATGTATGCATAGATTTTAGTTATTAATACAATAGAGACCTTAAAGGTAACTGGAACAGGATTTGAACCCACGACATCTTTCACTCTGCGAATAATATATTTGTGTTTATATGTGCTTAACTAAGTTGTAATAGTGACCATAAATGAATTAAATATTAAAAAACATGAGCCGATGTCTGTGTATATATATATATATATAGATATGTATAATATATAAACGATTGTAAATATAATAAATACGAGCATATAATAAATGAATATATAGACATAATAAATGAAGTTACCCCGGTGCTAACAACCTCGTATAACAGAGTACGGACAATTGTTCAAACAATCAAACCATTAAGTACTCCATGATATGTGTACAGACCACTTTGTATTGTTTTTGTGGTCAATACCGATGTTGATCAAATTACAGAATTAACAACAATTTGTGTCTTCATACGGGGTTATGAAACAGAGATACGCTTTTATCAAAATGTTGCTAATAATGTTAACTTGCAACATTTTGTGCTCAGTTTACTAAACTGATAAAAAAATTTAAAAAGGAAGAAGAAGTAGACTTTTTATTACTATTTATAAAAACATTTTGACACTGGCGGGACTTGAACCGGCATCTACAGCGATTCGTGCTGCTGTTCTAACCGATTGAGCTACAATAACCCACTCTCATTCTACTAGAGCAGCAGCACAATCCACTGCGGATGCCGGTTCAAGCTAGAGACGTCACATTTTTCATACTAAATAGCTTTTTTATTTATAAGGTAGATCAATAGTTAATCAGACTTTTTATTATATTTAAGGTCTCCCTCTCATAAAATTATAATTTTTGGTTTAATTAACTTAACAGGTAATCAGATTTTTTGTGCCCTGTCAGACAGAAACTTACAAATATCGCATTATAACGTAAGACGTTAAAAAAAAACAAATGATTATAAATTATTACTTCAACCCCATTTCTATTTGGACCTTAATTATGTACGATTATACATAATTTAACGAAACATTGTGTCCGTATTATAACTTATTTAATTTAAAAAAAAACTTAAAATTAAAAAGGTCGCTATTACATAATGTATATATAGGAAATCAACAAACGGGGCGCTACTTTAGGCAGGCGTCAAATTTCGAGTGGGTCAGAAGTTGAAAACGTATTATTCATTTTGGTAAATCATTGACTAAATATCATGATTATCTACGTGATATACTGAATAACGACGATCACTGACTCATATCCAATCGCTGACAATACTAATAGCGATGGCCACTTATTAGATGATTCATCATTGGAAATGACATAATCATTACCTTTCTATACGAAGCAAGTATGGCCAAGTGACGAGCATTGTCAACAGACGGTAGTTAAGTAATTATTTCACTATAATCCCCATATTGTAGACAGTAATTGACTATTATTGCTTGATAATTGGAGTAAGGATTGTAATTGCTTAACTAGCTTTCGCTTTGAAAGGACGAACTATAGGAAAGACCTTTGAGGTCAGCTAAAAGTCGACATACATCATATCCGAAAACATATAGTGTGTGAAGACTAAATCAAATTTAAAGGTAACATTAATTTATTAATAAAATATTTCCGCGCTTTCCTATGCTTACAAGAAACTTAAATAATTTTAAATATTAGGTACCAGACAGAATATATAAAGTTTAAAAAACATGTACAAATTTTATTGTATTATATCATGCATATATAAATTAACAATTGATTTTAACAGAAAAAATTTACGACACGGCAGGACTTGAGGCCGGCATCCGCAGAGTTCTCACAGAGCAACAGCACGGATCTCTGTGGATGCCAGTTCGAGTCCTACCCTTGTCGTAAATTTATTCAATACAATATCGTGATTTTTTTCTAATTATAATTTATTATTCTAAGTCTTATTTTAAGTGTAACATTTGTATGAGAACGAATTCGTTTAATCAAAACTTAAGAAATGCTATTTAACACTTGAATGCACTGTCTTGCACGTAATAATGCATTTGCTATTCAAAATCTTAAGGCGATAGATATTTGTGTATGTTTATACCTAATATTAACATTGTTTACTATGACGCATTTAAAAAAACATATAATTACTACTACTGTACTTTATTTTTGTACAACAAAGGACAATTTCTGTTTGTACATGAGATAATATTTAGATTGATATATAATAAAATAGCTTATTTCCAAATTATAAGTAAAAGTTATTTTAAAGGTATAATTTATGATGAAAATACGGAAGTACACACGTCAGGTTTATCTACTTGAAAGTAAAACAATTGCCAGACCACTGTTCTGACCGGGATTCGAACTCGGGATAATTTAACATACACCTCGTTTAAATTTATTTCAGCAACTCTTTTAACTATAATGGTGTTTCAAGTAACACTTAAACTATGTTTATAAATTAGAATTATATTAGTATCAATAAAGGCATGTTTTAATTTTACCTATATTCTGAATGCCCTTATAAAGTTTTGAGGCCCTCGTTTGAACTATATTGATTAATGTTATCGATGGCTCAATAAGGTTATATATTATGTACTCATCTACTGATATACTACGTTGTAAAGACCTTGTGAGTTATCGCAAAACGTAGGATAAACGCATACTGTCGCATTGTTTCAATTATAATTTGAATAAATTACTTTGTTGTCGTGAACAATGCACAAACACTTTGAATTATTTTCTTTGTCAATGTATAACTATTAACGTACTACTATTATTAAAAAAATAATGGATAAAGGATAATATATGGAATTTTCCAGAAAATTATTTACACCTAAAAAAGAAAAAAGTTACAAATAGTATAATAAAATTGTAAATGTATACCCAAATTTTGTGTTTACTTTAACTTTTGTATATTATCCGTTTTTTTAAAGATTTAGCTTTTTGTTTTTAAAGGGCAAGGTGCAATATGTAAAAAAAAAAATTTTACATTTAAAGTTTTTTACAGCTCCAATAAATTACGGGTTTCTTACAAAATATCACTTTCTCTTTATTCTGGTAAGGTCCTCTAATTATGGGAGAATCGTAAATTTTACGAGTAAGTTAAGACAATAAACAATGCACTTACATCGTAAAAACGTTTTAACTGTCCTAATTGCGATACTTGTTCGAAGGCGTAAGGCGGAACGTGTAAACCGACGTCAAAATCGCACTAATGATTGTAATGATTTCGTCAACAACCTATATGATGCAGCCAAAACAATCCTTAACATGTAAACTATAGAAGCCAAATTTGAATGATTTAGTGACACTGTAGTTTTGCGTGAAATACATCGTCCAGGACAGCGCAGTGAAGACTTTGTTAATCCTATCACAAATGATGATCGTTTCTCGGAATTCGTGTTTTCTCTTGATGCGTTTGTTTTTTCGAATTCTCAGAATAAATGGAATGGTGGATCGCCGTCAGGAGACCATTCTGCATAGATGTAAATGTTTATTGACTTTTTTTAATATTGGAATCAATTTTAAAATAATTTATTAACGTAGGTTCTAGGTACCCTTATGAATGTCACACCAGTCAAGTCTACTTAAACAGATAAGTCATTAACTAAACAATGATTCCGCCAACTCTGCTTAATGCCTTCTTGTATAGTAACTCAATAATTTATTTATGTAGGTCTAATCGCTAACAAAGGATATACAGAACCGTTATTGCAATTCGACACGAAAGAGTTACATTGTACTTTCATCTTCGAATAACCTCGTGATTCATTTACTACCGACATTATATTCGAATTAATTTGACCCGAATAAATCGAGACGAGAGAAAGTAATAATTAGCATTGTTTGTATTTACCGTTTATTGTATTGCAATCTAGAACAAGTTTTTAAATGACAGGACATTTTTAATAATAATCTGTGCAGCATGGTTTCTTGCAAGGCTTGTAACTGCCGTCAGAGCAAAGGTACGCGCGCACTTTTTTCGCCAAAGGACAGTCTAGTCTACCGCATGGCCCGTGAACATCTCGTTTGTTGACAAATTGACCAGGCTTATATGGTTTCCCTTTGACTTTTTCCCCATGGATGAACTGATGTTGGCTACCTCTGTACTCCATTCGTTTTGGGCAATTAGTACCACCGCAAGGTCCTTTAGGAAAGCCCATAGCAAGTATTGCCAGTTCACTTGCGGTGAAAGGTGCTACAAAGTCTTCAAACAAAACAGGTTCCTCAACTGGTCGGATGGGCTCCTTACTAATATCAGGAGCGCCGAAGAAATATGCGACCGGAGGTACAGCATCAATTGTGGTACCCTCCCAATGCCTAACAACCTCGACATCTTTTAATTTGAGGTCATCCGTTAAGTATTTTCGACCGGGCAACCTTTCCATTTCTGGTAAAGCAACGAAGTATGTAACAAGTCGGTTTCCCATACAAGTGAGGCGTAAGAAGAACTCGATTTCTCCCGATGGTTTTAGGTCCTCCTCGCATTGTATCGGTCTTATTAATTCCACTGTATTTGTGGCCATGCTAGGTTTGACAGTACTCCTAAATTCCGCTTGGTCCATATCAACTGGGTTCATATCGGCAATCTTTTGGAGACATTCGAAAAAGGTCTCATGCCACTCCACTACGCAGAAACCAACACAATTAAATTCTTGGTCACGGTTCCATACGGTAATATAAATTGGTGTTTTTCGCAACTGTTCCTCTAATTTTGACGGTCGAGATAAGAACATTACCGAATTTCCAACTCCAAAGTACGGAGGTTGCGGCAATGGCTCTGAAGGTAGTACTATTTTGACTGGAGCTGCCTTTCCTTTCTTGCCTTTTTTAGGTTTGGGTGGTTTTTTCGCTTTTCCTCCTTTCCCAGGAGGAGGCGGTGGAGGAGGGGCAATGAAATTGTCATGTGCGACATAGAAGTCAAACAGCGGTAAGCAATTCATTTGCATCGTGCATGTTTGCATGAATTTCATTTCTTCTTCTGAAGGCATCGGAGGTTCCTTTCCTTTTTTGCCCTTTTTCGGTTTTGGTGGTTTTGCACCTTTCTTACCTTTCTTTGCCGCCTCTGCTGCTGCTAGAGCTTCTGCCTCTCTTTTCCTTTCTTCAGCTTCCATTCTGAGTTCGTACTCATCCTTTTGGGGTGGTTCGACTTTTAGAATTATCTTTTTCACAAATACTTCTATCATAAAAATTTGTTCCATTGCTGTAGCTATAAATATTAATAAGGATTGAATATAAATAACGTGTAATCCATTTTATGTTCTTTAAAATAATAACAAAAACTAACTTGTTATTTTTCGCGTCCCTTCAAATATTAGTAATCATAGTTATTACGTGAACATTATAATGCAGTTTTCACTACAAATTTACACATATTTTTCGTATTTTCATCTTGTCTTGTAAATAAATATTGACCACGGTGAAATCTAGTCACTATTTGACATTACAACTTAAACAACACGTCAAGTAAAAAAGTTTATATAGATTCTATTGAATAAAAAAAAAATAACATAAATTCTAAAATGTAAATCTTCAGAAAAGTCACAATATTACTAAAACTCGTTTTTTTTTTGTTTACACCTAATATCAATAATCTTAGCTCATCTTACATTTATATTTTAAGTACATAAAAAATATTTAAATATGTGTATTACTGGGGTATAGAATTATAAGATACACATATTAACCCAGCTTTAGTATTCTTAGGTATCTTGAATAACTGAACATACCTACTCAAAATATATTTATATGGAATGAAACTCGATTCGTCTCACACATCGCATGCGCAAAGGTTTTTTATGATAGCATGACAGACCAATACAATCACGTATAGAATCAAAACAAGACAGCGTATAAAAGAAAAAAACGTGCGTCGTAGAGTTCAAGCTTGGGGTCACGTTTACGCACGCGGGTAGCGTAGTCGCGGGGGAGGGGCGGCGTGCGCGCAAGACAAGTCTCTTTGTTATGGATATCGGTGACTAGAAGATATTATGGTGGCCTATTTCTATTGATACATAAATTAGTGCTAAGTACTTATGTTATTCTAAGCTATCTATTGTGCTCAAGGGCGCAATTTAGCATATAAATAATACTTGAAAACTTTAATATTTTTCATATACCACATGATGGCATTATATAAATAAAAAATCGATTTTAGATGGAAAAAAAAATACGACGGGATTTGTACTCGTATTCGCAGCGTTCCGTGCTGTTGCTTTAACTAACTGCGCAAGTATTAAGGTTGAAATTAAATTGCGCGAGAGGTGCACGAATCAATAGGTTAAAAATTCGACTACAACACACCTATACGACTCGGTAGCTCAATTGGTAAAGCAACAGCACGGAACGCTGTGAATGCCGGTTCTCGTCATAAAATATTATCAATTTAAAAAGATTTTTTAAGATACTTTTAGACAAAACCTTATATTTTAGATATTAAATACTAAAATAGTTGTTATACTTACGAAGCCCACTGAAAAACATAATATACTTATTTGAAATCGTTTTAAAAATACTTATCTAGTACTTTAAGTCCATTTTGTGGGTACTTTCAAGACCGAAGCAAATTGTCTGTCTCTCTCGCACGATGATATTTAAATTTAGAACCGCGTTGTACGTTAACTTAGTACTTTAGTCGATACCTATAGATTGCCTATAATTGAATGCGGGCTTTGATTATTCAAGCATTAAATCTAGGTTTCTTCAACGTCTTATCATAATTGAACATTTAATTGTAGCATATCTTAGTGTAATAGATACTTATAAGTAGTTATTTATTTATATCCGAGATAAGTATATTTTATAAAATCTAGGTATGATTACTGAACACCGTCTGTACATACCATTTTTAATTTTGTTCTGAAGTTATACGTGTTTAAGAAGTGAGAACTGAAATTCATAAAGCTGGTGATTGAAAATATTTTGCTGTAACAACTATACATATAAAATAATATATAGACATTGTGTATTTAACTACATCAACGTTAATTAATTAGTATTGTGTTTTTTTTTTTAATTAAAAATTAAGTATATATTTACTTAAGTGAACTATTTAAATATTGATACAACTAAAATTACAGATGATGAAAAATCTCAATAGAATTGCTGTTTTGTTTTAAATCCGAAATTAATGTATTACTTTTCAACCACAACGCCCTTTGAGAAACTTCGGAGACACAAATTAAACTTCTATGCCAAAAGTTGTTTTTTATGACCACATCTGCAGCATCATCTTTTAATTCAACAAAGAAAAATTATAGACATATGTGTCTTTATTCTGTATTTTAAATTGTTAAAACTAGTTCGGTTTAAAGAGATTTCTTTCTTTTTCAGATTTACATCTCTTACATGAAAAACTTATAACTACTTTAATTAAAATAATTAAATTAAATTACATCATTTCATTTAATGTACCATTTGTATTGTACGTTGTCGCGTTACTTACACAAAAATCACCTTCGGTAGTATAAATGCAATTGATACTATTGTAGCATCAGGCAACTTTCACATTTCGTTCCAAAGCAAACAAAAAAAAGATAAGCATAAAAGAAAATAATATTCTAAGAGTCAACACAGTAATGATAATAAGAGTACGTTTCGATGCGCGGGAGTCGACCGAGAAACCGGTAGCAACGTGCAGCTGTGCACTTTGTAAGGCGGCGTTATATGGGACAACTAATCATAGTTTTTTGTCACAGAAATATTTTTCGACACTGGAAGGATTTAAACCCACGACTAATACTATGGTGCCGTTGTTCTACCAAATAGGCTCCTTTTTCGCCGCATGTAAATGTACATGTTAAATATATGTTGTTATTTTATATAACCACTAAAAATATTGAATATTAACCTGTCAAATCAATTTACCGCGCATGTCCAGGACTTGAACTTGAGACCTCGACCTTTGTGATTTCAAATCGTATTGGAAGTTTAGCGTAAGATTTCTTAAAATATTGGAGATCATTTTTTATGCTTTTTAAGAGCAACAATAATATGCATTTTAGAAATTATCTGCCCATTTATCATATTATTAAAGTAAGAAGAAGCAAACTAATAATTACTATTTGTAAAATTATAATAGAAAAAAGTATCGCCGTTTTCTAAGTTCGTGGCATTTACGTATTACGTTATTTTAAAATGTGTAAGGGAAAGAAATATTGCTTCTTTGTAAACACAGAACGTGTTCAAACTCGATTAATTATTCAATGTAAGAGCCAATTTAAATGACACTATATCACCGTTTACCTAGAAATGCAGAATGCAAAATGACTATGTAAATAATATATTACACGTCTTTTCTATACCTTAGTATTATTACACGTTGAGACAGTCATAGAGACACAAAATACAATTGACGGCAGTTTACGCATAGAGTCCACATTTCATTTTTTAACTCATGACAAGCGAAATTTATTTTAACTACGACGTTTCACATGCTTGTAGCGGCCGTAGTAGTGGGTCCACGTGAAAACGGTCATAGTTATTTATTTATTAATATAATAAATAAAAAATAGGCCTATATTATAAGCCTAATATATTTTGCGTTGTAAACCGATGAAATTTATTATTTTATTTATTAATGAAAGGACTAAATACCTAATTCAAATTCTAAAAATATATAGTTTTCTCAAATCAAAACAATCGGCCATAAAAAACTAAAAAAAATGTAACTAGTACATTTCGCGTCTCTAAACGGTAAAAGTGTAAACTACAGGCAGTACATACAAAATTTGTTCACTAATTGTTTAAATCAGAAAGTGACTTTTAAAATTTGTGATTTGTAACTTGGTTGCTGCAGATGCATTGTGAACGCGACCTAATCAGCCTCTTATTCGAAGCTCTCAAGTTGTGGCGTAGTTTAAGCTTTGTATAGCGGGTGTATTTTACTGACCTGCACTTGTACTTACTTTTTATACTAACTTAGTTACATACATTTAAATAAAACACAATAACGGTTTAAAACGCGATATATATTAGTTCAACTTTTTTGAAAAATATTTTTACTACAGACAGTATTTAGTTACATACATTTAAAATTATATTTTATTTCTTTGACAAACTTTGAGTACCTACTTAAGACGTTTACGTTTTAGAGACGTATAATTATTATGTGAAATATAGAATGTACAAACTTTTGAAGCTTCGAAATTAAACTTTTCAAGTAAATTGTAGAAGATAAATACACCTTAAATAGAAATAAAATTCTCAACTTGTAACGGAAACTTTAAATAAAAATTGATGACTTAAACCTTGGGGTATAATAAGTTACTTAAAATATTATGAACGATGGCTTCAAAACTTCGTAACTCAAAGTTTGTTTCATTATCAATCCGACGTGTCTTTTAAAGTATGTGAAAAGTTTCTTTTGAATTTATTAAGGTAATCATTATAAAATCAATACGAAGCATAAAAGAAATGAAATTTGGAACTTCTTTGGCATCCACATTATACTTTCGCCATTGCTTAGTCGCCTTAGTTCCGAAGAGTGGGACCAGGGCATCATAAACAAAGGATAAAGGACTGGTGATATGAGGCCGCTAGAGGCAGAGTAGCCTAACTGCGATTTTATGACTTGAGTTGTTTATATTTTTATAGTCTATACAAATTCATGTTGGCCTAAGTTTCTCACTTCATTCACTCACTATTAAAAATTATGTTTTTTGTTATTCGTCCACTCTGCCCCCAGCAGCCTCATATATTATTTTTAACATTGTACAGTAAATAAACATACAATTATTTTAAGTCTCTCCTTCATCCGAGGTATTTGGTTATCCTGCCCAATCCTCAACTTCACCAGAATAACATACCCGTCTTCATCAAAGGGTAATTAAGCCTCCAACAAGCCAGCGAGACGTAATAGTCCCCAGAAATAACATTTCGTATTTATTGTGAAAGCAACGGACTAAATAAATAGTTTGACACAACATGACCCCACGAACTTAGTTAATTGACAATTGAACGCGTTGTTCGATAGTTTGGCGATTTCGAATGTAGAGCTGTTGGACAGTTCTGTAGAAAAGTACATTCAAATAAATCGTTGTTTAGCTTTGAAATGCTCCATATATTTTTTTGACTTGCAATCTTTACTACGATCATGGAAACTGATTTTCAATCCTTTGAAACGATTTTAAACAGCTTGTAGCATAAAGATTAGATAAAGTCCCGCGTAATTTTAAGCTTGATAAATAACTTTAATATTTCT